TACTACTACTACTACTACTTACTACTAGAACTGAGGAGAAATTTCCTGACAGTGAGAACAATTAATCAGTGGAACAGTGGAACAAAAGTTGCCTCCAGAAGTTGTGAATGCCCCAACACTGGAAGTCTTTAAGAAGATGTTGGAGAGCCATTTGTCTGGAACGGTATAGTGTTTCCTGCCTAGGCAGGGGGTTGGACTAGAAGACCTCCAAGGTCCCTTCCAACTCTGCTATTGTATTGTATTGAATTGTACTGGCTCAGGACCAGTTTGCCCTGTGGACAGCTTTCTTAAACAGAACTTCCTTTAAAATTTCATCAGTATGCTTATTGACTCTTAGGATTAAGAGTCAACTCTTAGGATTAAGAGTCAACTCTTAAGTATTCAACTCCTTGCTTGAAGACATTATGTACTGTTCTTCTACATACTGAGCCAGTTTCCTTTTAAAAACAGAGCTGCGTTAAAAGCAAATGTCAAGATTAATAACTGATAAAATTTTAATAATTAAAATTTTAATAATGCTCTGCCCCAGAATTTTTTATATATTCATTCTCTCTCACACACCACCATCGCCCTGGTGTGTATATATAACCTGATCAAGTTACTGCAGAGGTAGTTCATAGTTTTCAAGAAGTAAATGTTCTAGAAAGGGCTTCACCATGTTCTTGCCACAATTGAGAATGCCTGAAACCCAAGTTTTACACCCAGCTAGGATTTACCTGTAATGCTGTGATCCTAGAAGAAATAAGAGAACGTGGTGGTACTTTGCTCTTGTATTTCACTGCTTCTCTGTCATGTCACAAAAACTCATTTGTGGAAATGTTTCTTGGTTCCTGTTAGACTCTCCCAGGAGGAAAGCTTGCCATGTGAGAAACCATTGCCTCCCCAAGGGCACCTCAGAAATGAAACTGACAATGTTGTTGTTCTCATAGTGAGTTGGTGGGTGGCAACAGCACAGTTTCTGTTGCAGCTGTTAGGGGAAAGGGAAGGGAGTTCTCCTTGCTCTTTTCTTCCACTCACGAAATGCAGATCCTCTGCTGAAGGCCCCCTGTAGCTATGGAGTCCTCCAGAAAGCAAGGAGCAACAATAGCAGTACAGATGCTGCCACTGAGCAGAGTGGCCAGAGAAGAAAAGAATGAATTGCATGTGGTATGGGAGGTTACCAGTGTTCTGACTTAGGCTTCCCAAGATCACGAAGTAGACTCCTCGTCCCGATAAAACCTCTTTCATTTAGGTTAAAGGGAATTCCTCTCCAGCAATGCCCCGGCAAACAGTCTTTCATGAGATTTCACAACTACAGATCTTTATCAGGCTTGGAGAGTTGCCAGGCCGATATCTTCCAAACACCACGCTGTAGCTGCAATTATTTGGCAAGAAGTCAGATACACCCTAATGAATTGAACTAATTGTCTCCTGCAAACTCCCTTTCCCTTTCTCTCCTCTTTATTCCCTATGGGAGGGGCCATTCACCATCCAGCTGTGCCTTTACTCCCGAGTTGGCCCTTGTTCCTTAACTGTTCCTTCTCCTGGCAGCTCTGCGCATGCACTCATTGGGAATCGACTCCAACTGTTCTTCTGCCCCACTGATATCCAACTCCAAAGGCAGCTGATAACTGTTGGATGTTCCTGCCCCATCTCTGCCTTCAACGCAGAGCACTTCCCCAGACTCCATGACTGGCCCCAACCTCCTCACTGTCTGAGTCTGCCACCAACTCCACTGGCCACTGGCGCCCAGTAGGAATAGTGACTTTGTGGAATATATGACTCAAAGTCACTCTTCCTACCAGAACAGAGAAGGTAAACATTGGTGGTTGATCAATTCTATTTGTGCTGTAAGCCAAAGGAAAAATGGGCACTGTCCAAGAAAAAGACCTATGGCAGGATGGGAGTATGGGGCCTCAATAGGCCAATTGGACCCTTGAAAATTACCAACTTCCGATGCAATTTCTCTAGAACAGTGGTGTCAAACTTGCAGCCCATGGGCCAGATGTGTCACGTGCTGGCCATGCCCACCCATGTTTTAGCGAAGGTGAAAAAAGTAATGATACGTCACGTGATGACGTGACGACACGAGTTTGACACCCTGCTCTAGAAGGATCACCTAGAAGAAGGTTTGCGGTGGTTTTGGTAAAGAAATATCCCTATCCTCCATCCCTCTTTGATTGGGCCTTGGCAGTAGTTTTCCATCTCAGATGGAAACTCCATTGTCAAAATATAACTCTATAAATGGCAAGCAGCTTATCATAGTGCCAAAGTGTGTATGGATTTATGGGGGTGTCTCAAAAGTGTTTTTTTTTAAAAGTCCACTGGACTTTGTTTTTCAAGTTATGGGAGAAGTGCATTTATCTTAGTGCCTCTTGATTTCCTCAGTGGCTTTCAATATCACTGACCACATTGTCCTTCTGGACTAGTTGTGGAGTATGGGAATGGAAATACCATTCTGCAGAGGTTCTCCTCCATTTTTGGTAGCCAGTTCCAGTCAGTATTGACATAGGGAAAGTGATCAAGCCACGGCACTCACTTATGGGGTGCCTTAAGGCTCACCGCTCTTACTCCTTTTATGTAAGTTCTACAGAAAACTGTTGATCGGAAGGACCAGGTTGGTCCTGATCCTGATGGAAGTCTGTCTGTGAGTTGGCATTGATAGAACACAATCTATACAACAAGAGGGAAATGGGGAAAGATTATAATTGAGGAAAGAATCTCAACTGAGGCAGCATATATTGTTTTAATTGTAGAATAATATAACATTATGGGTAGGAAGGTTAGAGAGAAACTGTGTGTGTATGTGGGTGGGTGTAGTACAAGTTGTGGGACAGAAGAACCATGATTAGGTTACTCGGTATAGTGAGACCTTTGCTACATCTTTGACAACAACAATAACAGATCATTTTCTAACCCGTTCAAATGCGGATTAAGTCCCTTATCTTTAGAGCCTAACATTCCCTGTTCTTTGATGTTCCTTCTCTTTCCCTGGGTATGTACCTACCTGACTAGTTTTGACTTACATAAGGCAATTCAGTTGTGTGCGGGCATATGAGCCTGATGAAATATTTTTAGTGGATCAGGTCACTTGCTTAAGAATTATTAGTTATCTCACTGTAAATCTAAATTTCACATTTGACGTCTGTTTCTGGTTATCATCCATGGCATCTCTAATGCTATAGTAGAATTTAGGAGTAGGCATTTCAGGACAAAAAGAGATATTTAATTAGTTGAGTAGACAAAAGAGAGAGAGAGAAAGAAATTGTGAAATAAATGGCCATTAAAAAGCTGGCTGACAAACAGTAAACTTGTGCCTGGCAAATTTCGTTTGTACTTAATTGACAGGCAGCTTAGAGTGGGAACTTGTAGAACACTTTCATGTTATCGGGGAAATTCTTAATTGAAAAGGATCAAGGTTTATGTGCCCATAAATGAATAATTATCTCATTATCTAAATAATATCCTCTTTCTTCAGGTCTGTCCTTAAATCTAAATTGTTCATGAAGTCCTTTGTTTAAGCTCTTCAGACCTTTCCTTTCTCAAACTGACCTTAAACATGTTGAACCAGGTCACATACTTGCAATTCATGCAATTCATTGTTGTGACTTTTGCTTCTATTCTATTTTCCTTTTTTATAGCTTCCTTGTGAATATTCTACAAGTCTTTTTGGACAAAAAATAACTGATTTCTGATTGCACTGCCCTAAATCATTCTCCCTTTAATGAATCTGGGTCACTCTGGCCCCATTTTAAAGTGCCCCAGAGCTTCTGAAGATGGTACTACTAATATCTAGACCTGATTTTCTGAAGACTAAAAATCAGTGTACAAGTCTCCACTGTATTTAGCATATCAATTTTCTGTTATTCTTTTCCCCCCATCAACAACAAGCCTGACATTTTTATTACTATGTGGAGAAACAATGTGGTCTTTGCAATCCGATTTTTGGACTGCATAAAATGTGGCCCTCAACTGCAGAAAGGTTATCCCATTTTACCCTAAATGGAAGTAGTTGAGAAAAACAGCTTAACATGATTAAAAAAACACCATAATCACAATGCCTTTTTACAGGGCAAATGGCAGCATAGTAGAATTTTATAGATAATGAAGGCAGCAGTAAAGAAACAAAACATAAATAAGAATCCCCATGCCACAATAAAAAATCTGTAGCTGGAACTGTGCACATGTACCTCATAATACAGTTTTCAAAAGTTGCTTTCTTTTAAAGTTAAGTGAGAATTCTGGTTAACTGTATGCATTCTAAATATGTCAGAATCAATCAGAATAGAGTTGAAAGGGACCTTGGAGGTCTTCTATTCCAACCCCCCTATTACCATTTCAGACAAGTGACTAGCCAGTCTCTTCTTAAAAGCCTCCTGTGATGAAACACCCACAACTTTGAAAGGCAAAGTGTTCCACTCCTTAATTGTCCTCACTCTTAGGAAGTTTCTCCTTCATTCCAGATTGCTTCTCTTCTCCTTGATTGGTTTCCATCCATTGTTTCTTGTCCTGACGTTGGTGCTTTGGAAAATAAGTTGACCAAAAATATCAACATTTTTATTTATTTATTGATCACATTTATATGTCTGCCCATCTTGACTGGACAGCTTTCTAAATGTGATTAATAAATATATAAAAATAGTTGTGCTGACACTTTTGCATTCAAATCAAATGATGTATTTAGAATGCATACCGCATGTTTATCGGAATTCTCACTTTAATTCAAAAGAAGGCTGCTAAGGCCACTCATATGACCCCATATACATTCTAGCCAACATTTGTCCACACAACCTACAGACCACTTTCCATTGCAACTGGTTTTCGGTCTTTTAGTTTATTTAGGGGAGTTACACAAATAATATATGGTTTAAACAATTTCCTTCTCTCAGATCTAACCACTGGACACAATTTTGAGCAATTAGTTGGATCATTTCCATTCCTGGTTGAGTTTCCCACAAGATTTTCACCCATTTGCCATATTGTGAAAAAAGAAATCTGATACTTATAAAGCATAAGACTCTGAAATTTCCAGTTTGAAGTGTTTACATGGACTTTTCTTTTAAAAAAAATATCTCGGAATATGTTCTTTCTTCAAGCAATTGAACCTCGATTTATTCCTGGATAATTACATTTTAAATGAGCTAAGATTTTAATAGCTTAATTGACCACTGATTCTAGCTTATTGTGCTCAATGCAGTAAACATGTATTATATATTCAATCAAATATGTTTACTCTACATGACTAATATTGTGGGCTAAGCCTGGTGGGAAAATAAACAAAGAAAGGGCAAAATTCAGTAAATATTCCACTCCTATCAAATGTCACCTTTTAAAACATGGATGTATAAATCAGACCTGTGCAACTTGTCATAAACCAAGTTACAAGCAGCTGACCACCAGTTGTGGTATGTTGCAAACAAGAGATTCAATCAATCTGTTAAAAAACTTTCTTTGGGTTACGAAACACTTTCCTGGGGTTATGAAATAAATAGAAGGGATGCCATTCCTGGCCAGCTGCAGTACCACAGCTAGATCATGTAAGTCGTAGGCGCCTGGCATAACATTTGGACCATATTGCTGGACATGATCTTTTCACATATATAAAATGCAAATCAACTCTAGTGGGATTCAATTGCTCATATGGAGCTCAGAGTCTGATCCTATTGGCCATAGCATGCAGGCAGTATCCCAAAACATATTTGGAACAGCTAAGGTTATCAGTGAAGAGCTAAAGCCACTTTTTGCAAACATCTTTTGAAAAGGTGTTTCAAAGAATGAGGGCAAAAAACAAAGCCAAACAGAAAAACCCAAACAAACTCCTATGCATATTTTCTCCTAAAGGCAAGTTTTTCTCGCAAGTCTAAGCAGATTCTAGCGATTATTTCATTAGACCTAGACAGTTAGAAGACAAATGACTTGTGTATCTGTAGTAAATTTGCAGGTGGGTGTGGAGAAAGGATCCTTCCAATTACTTAGATTACGTTTTTTTAAATCTTCATTTAAGATCTAGGGTGGCAACCTTCTTCATCACATGACACTTCCTGCAGACAAAGGGAAATCTTATGGCTTTGGGAAGGATGCCAAATCTGAGCCATTCGTGTGAAGTTAGAGATTACTATTAATCTACTGCTCAGCAGAGTGAAATGCTGGTCCTACCTAGATACGTGAAAGGCTGATAGAGACAACTGTGCACATGCAGCAGTAGCAGCAAAGAGTGGGAGAAAGCGCCTACGTTATGAAGACTGATCTGAGCCAGCTGCCCTTTCCTTAAATTTCTCTTAGGATCGAACGTAAAATAACACTGATAGCCCTTTCTCGCTCTCTTTCTTTCTCTGCTTCCTTTAGACAGCAATGGTGTTCCTCTGGAATCAAATTAGAAACAGAGTCTTATCGTTGGAGACCTCAGTGCCATTACAAAGTGATATAAGAAAAGTGTCGATGTAAACTACAGAAAGAGGACCCCCCCCCATTGGATCAGAGTCTCCATCCCGGCGTCTTTTTCCCTCCCTATGTTTCTTTCATTGTCTGAATGTTCTCTCTCTCTCCTTTGCTCTCTCTTGTCTACACCCCCCTTGCCCCTCGAAGTGACCCGTATGTCCCCCCCCAATGTCTTTCCTTGGCCGAGGAGGTGGTGGTAGGGTGCAGCGGTCTTTCGGAGATGTCAGCAACAGCTAGCCCAGACGACGTTGTCAAGAAGATTGCATCAAGCCTGTGAGACGCTTGCCTGCCAGTGACTTTCCCTGGAGGAACAAACAAAAGGGAAAATGGGAGAGGGGAGGGGAGGAGAAGCCGAGGATATGAATTCATCTTGTGATTAGTTGGTAACACAGGCCAGATTGCTTGGTGAGTTTCGGAAGCTGGGGGGCAAGGACCAATTATGGAACAAAAGGTAGTTGTGATGACACATGTGGGGATAAAAGAGGCAGGAATAGCCTATATTTTCTCTAGATAAACATTACTTGGGACCTCAGAAAGCTAATCAAGGTCATGCCTTCCCTGTGGAACTATTTTCTGTATCAATTTTATGGCCTTTACAAATATGATCAAAGTGCCCTTGATTTTATCCAAACATGTAAGGAAACCCAGTTATCTCTTTGCACTGTATGTCCCAAAATGACAACTTGGATGTCTTGTACAAATTCACTCCCCTTAGGCATATTCCATTATATTCATTAATAGGGAACATTGGCTTTAGGGCACTCTTCCTCCCAATCTGCAAATGCCTACATCCCTCGGGATCTTCCTTGATGCGATGGCCATATTCCTCCCTTCCGAGAGCCTCTACTGCATTTGCATTCCACCTTCCTTTCCAGTTGCTGCAATCAACATCCAGAGTTACCCGTCTGGCTCAGATTTACTTCATTGAATTAGTGAAATAGTGATGAACTTGTACATCAAGTTCTTTCAGACCCATTGATGGATTCATAATGTCTCGAGGGCATTTGTAAACACCCACAATTCTCAAGAATGGTTACTTTAGAACTACAGGTGACATACAAAACTAAATGTTATATATTCAGTAAATATATATTTATAAAAATATTTCAGTGAATACTTCCATAGCAAGGGCTTGGTTGGTTACATAGCAGGATAAAGATTCTACCATTATTGCAGAATCTACCACTCTACCATTTTCATTGCAGTCATTACAAAGGAATGAGTCCCATCATTCAGCTATCAACTCCCCAAAGGCAAACTAGAGGAGAAAAAATTAAACAATGAGAGGGGGGGGGGAAATCCTGTGCAATCCTGCTGACTCCCTCATATTGTCAACCTAAGATGCTAATTGGCGATTTTGAAGATTCTTTGTCTCCAGTACTTTCATATCTGGCACACTTATATGAGTATATGCTTTCCAAAACCCATTTTTAAAAAAGACAGGAGGGGAGGGGTAAGGAATGAATAAAAGTTAAGTAAAACAAATTGCCTGTAAAATTTACAAAATTAACATAGTAACAAAATTACTACATACATCCCCCCTCCCCCCATGAACTCACCTCCCTCCTCCAGCAGACACAAACAAGCAGAAGGGAAAAACTGGATGAAACGGGCATAATAAGCTTTGTTCTGGCATTACAGAAAGGGCTAAAATCAGCTAGGTAATAAGCCCTGCTTTTAAAAGCCTCCAGGCTTTGGAGCAGCAAGATCTGCATTCTTTGGCACTTCTTCCTCATTCTTCTGCTTTCAAGAATTACCACGGTTCCTACCTGGGCTAGGAGATGAGCCTCTCTCCAATTCAATTTGAGAAAACTCAAGCAGAACATTTCAAGGCATTCTGTCCCCAATAATTGTCCTGAGGTCACAATGCCTATAAAGGCTATTTCTTTCCACCTTCAGCATTTCTATTTTAGCTCATGCAACTGGTGCTGCTCGCAAAATAACAGCACACGAGAATTTATTGCCTTAGCTTCAGACAGGCCTGAAAGTCACATTATATATCCTTTATAATGCTTTCTTCCCTCCAAATCGGTGTACATCCTTCTTTCCTTAATTGGATCCCAATCATTAGCTCAGCTTGCGAATTGAATGTTAAAGATCTGCTAGCCAGCCAGAGAATAGATGTACGTGCCAGATATAAGCACTTAGCGACTACATGAAAGAGAGAAAGAAATCCTCTCATTCTGAATTTCTTACATCTTACAAGTGGACTCAGTCAAGAATTGGAGACTCAGCTTGGCCTTTGTTTCTCTAATCTTCTTGGAAAATAAGAATGGGGGTTGTGTGTGACAGAGTTTTTTCCGAATGCCTTCTGCTCTTATTTTGAATTCTTTGTATCTAGGAATTTGTTGACTGTCCAGCAGAATGGATTAGTCAGGGGTTTAGGAAACAGAGAAAGAACAAAATAAGTAATTAATTTATCCTTCCTTCCTTACTTTACGAGCAGATTCAGAAGACCAACATATAGTTAGGTTGCAGTAGCTTTAAAAAAAACATTTCTTGTGGTATAGTAATAATTTTGGAAATGATTTTTCTAATATACATGGCCGAGTACATGGGATACAGAACTGAACAAGGTAAGTAGGGCAAAGTGGGTATTTATCAGCAACTTTTTTCTATTCCTAGAGTAGTATATCCACCCCCCTGCTTCAACCCAATCTTTTCAGAGCCTCCCCAAACTTCCATTAGCTGCCAAACTTGGCTTGGCTTTTTCACTCCTTCCATTTCTGTCTAGCATTAAACAGCTATTCTGTGCAAACTATGTATTTTATTTTGGGCATGTACCATCCAAAATCAGATATTTTTATGCATAGAATGGCTTTCCCCCTAATCCCTGGATAATCAAATAAAATCTGAACTCCATTAGAAGAAAAATGTCTTTGTTTACATTCTTCAGCGTACTGTAGACCCAAATGATGTTTAGTGCTGTACCAATCTGAGGTTAAGGTTAAAAGTGCAGAGAAATTCACTTTGCAATTCAAACGGAACTTTTGTAATTGTCTTTATATTTTGCTAAAAGACGACCATTTTTTTTAGCTACATCATAATTAATCTCAGTAGTCCTATTCCTCTATGTTTTTTAATTTCTCGGTAGCTTAAGTATAGGTAGTCCTTGATTTTCAATCAGAATTGAACTCAGAATTGATTCAATCAGAATCTCCATTGCTAAGCAGGGCAGTTGTTAAGAGAGTTACAGATGATTTTCTCACCTTTCCCCCCTCAATTTCTGTTTAGCACATCACTGCAGTTGTTAAGTTAATCATGCAGTTGTTAAGTGAGTCTGGCTTCCCCTATTGACTTTATTTGTCGGAACCCAGCTGGAAAGGTCACAGATCATGAGTGCATAATCCTGAGATGCTTCAATCATCATAAATACATGCCAGTTGCCAAGAACTCATATTTTGATCGTGTGACCCAGTGGTGGGCTTCAAATAATTTAACAACTGGTTCTCTGCCATAATGATCAGCTGGGTAGGTGTGGCTCGGTGGTCATGTTACGGTGTGGTATGGCCAACTCAACGTCACTCAGGATGATGGGCGCTTCACCTTAGCTGTTACAATGTAATAAGGGTTAATCAGAGAGGCAGTTTCTGTAAGCAGGGCAATAAAGATTAGGCTAGAAACAGCACCAGAATGTTTCCTTCCTGCCTTCCTTACAGGATTAGCCTTGTAAAGTGGGGAAAAAACAAAATAAGATTTCTTCCAACAACCGGTTCTCTGGACTGTTTAGAAAGTTAACAACCGGTTCTCCCGAATAAGTGCGAACTGGCTGAATCTCACCACTGATTGTGACTATGGGAAGGCTGCGAGGGTCGTAAGTGTGATGACAAGTCACAAGTCACTTTTTTCAGGGCTGTTTGAACTAAATGAATGGTTGTAAGTCAAGGACTACTTGCAGTGGCATTACGGGACAATGTACTTTATGATTGCCATCGGCCCAAATAAGGAAGTTTTCCAAATGGTCTTGTTAGTTTCGATTCGTTTATAGCCAATTTTGAAATCCTTAAAGATCTCTGTGAATCTATGATGGTCTGTGAAGGAAAAGGGAAAGCCTTCATTTAAAAAAAATTTTTAGGAAGCAGCTGTTACTAATGGAGTCCAGAAATTCTGAATCTTTTGAAGGTGCCGCTTCTAATCTAGCATTGTATATGTCCCAAAGAGATACTGAAACAGCTGTATACCCTCTCTCTGATGTATTCTCTCAATTCAGATTTGAAAGTCTATTTAATGTCTCTTCAGGTGAGACATTCCTCAAATTCATACAATGCAATGACTGCCATTCTCTATCTGAAGCAAAAAAAAATAATAATAGTACAATATATGTCGCCTCATGCCTCCCTATCTAATACTTATTTTTAAAGTTTATTCTTTTGAGGATGAGATCCCAGAAGAGATGTTTCCATTCAGGAGATCATCAGGATAAAATATGATATCTTAAGTATTTCAAGAGATTATATTTCTTGGAGTTAAAACCTATGGACTATATTCCTTAATTCAGCCATATACTACACTGGGCTTCTTAGAAATTTTACTAACACAAAACCTAAATGCGCTATGACACACATGCTATTGAAATGAAACAGACCACATTCCCCATTTGTTTTTAACATATGATTTTAATACAAAACTAAGGGCCACATCCTTTTAAAATGGTCTTTTATTAGAATTAGAAGGAAAGGAAAGAAAAGATACACGTTGAAGACACATGAAGAGCAATACAAACCGAGAAAGAAGTTTAATGCCGAACAGAAGATTTTTAAAGCAGAAACCAAAATCACAGCAACAACAATAATGGCAAAAAAACATAAAATCCGCACAGATGCATTTACATCAAAAAAAATCAAAGGTGTTAAATTAGTGTAAACAGAATAAGAAATGATGACAACGGAAGACAGACAAAATTGTATACACACACACACACACACACACACACACACACACACACACACACAAAACAAAACAAATACACTGAAAGCTTGTTTACTGAATATATTACTTTAAAAGAAAACATGTCTATTTCTCTAACTGCAGTAGTCCAATTATCAGCTCATCCAAGAGCCATACAGGTGTTGGTTAGGTTGCTTCAGAAGGCAGCAACAGGGTGGCCCAACAAACCCTTTCATTTGGAGCCACTTAAAGGCTCCTGTAGTGAGGTTTGGTGTTTCTAAAGTACGGCCATGTATAATGTCTCTGACAGAATCCAAGACATTTTGTCTCCATGCAGTCTCCACTGTGTATATAGAGTTGTCGCCTACTTACAAAAACTGTAATTTATTTTATGTGATTCATAGGGGTTATTTTA